GGGAGTTTAGGCCCCCGGGTCTGGGACTCGAACCGTGGTCAACTACATGGGAGTCCAGCGACACAGCCATTACACTAACTGCTGGTTCCATGGTGGCTTGCTTTCTCACTTCCTCTCTCTCTCACTCTCACCCTCTGTCTCTCTCTGGTCAAATTAAAAAATAAATGAATGAATAAATAAAATAAAATAAATAATTATATTAAAAAGAAAAACAGAATTTGGGTGAGTTATTGATGAGAACACAAAAAGACCAAAAAAATTTTAAAAAGAGGCAATTTTAAGTATCAGAAAAACAAGATGTTGTAGTCATAAAACTGCAAGGTGGTCCAATTGTAAATAATATAAACAATCATCATGGGGCCCGCAGGTGGCATGGTGGTTAAACCACTGGATTCCCACATGGCTGACTATGGTTCAAGTCCCAGACCTGGCAGCTTGAAAATCACACTGAGTGTGTATGTGTATGCATGCCCAAGATCCTGGGAGGAGAATGAAGGAAAGGGGATTGTGGCATGGCCATTTCCCCCAGGGAGTGGTGAGTTCTCTCGTTCCCTTCCTTTACCTCTATGTCTCTCTGTCTCCAGTGAGTACTCATGTCCTATGGCAAAAAAAAAAAAAAAGGAAGGAAGAAAGAAAACTTTAAAACATCATAATATAAACATTATTTTAAGTTTACTCACCTATTTCTTATCTGGGATAGGCATACACACATTGAGGCTCCCCCAACAGGATCTTCCAACCACGATCCAACCCCAGCCTCAGTCAGCCAGAATCATAGCCATGTGCATGGGTCCCTAGTGTGCTCAGGGAGGACCTAGGACATGAACATAGGACCTTTCCCATGAGGGTCCAGTTGCATTACTGCTGTACCACCACCTGGCCCCTAATCAATAGCTTAATAGACCTTTTTTTTAGGGTAGTCTTAGCTTTACAGAAAAATTGATATATAGTTTAGAGTTCTCAGTAGTTTGTACAGTTTCCTCTATCACTAACATCTTACAT